TCTCATCAAGACTTTGCATAGAGAGTCCTACCCAGCAATTTCCCCTCTGCGGCTCGAAAACAACCAGGCCGGCAAAACGGTCCTCGTCACTGGCGGCGCAGGCGGCGTCGGATTCGCAATCGCGAAGGCCTTTGTTCAGGCCTCGGCTTCGCATGTCATCATCGTCGGTCGACGCCAAGGATTTATCCAAGACGGTGTCAAACGACTTGAAGCTGAGGCTCGGGCTGCTGGAACTGATACGAAGATCAGTGGATATTCGTCCGATGTTGCTGATCAACAGGCAAGCGAGAACCTGTGGGCTGGGTTGAAAGAGAACGGAATTGTTGTGGATGTCTTGGTGCTCAATGCCATGGCTCTGGGCCCTACCGGGCCGTTGGTGGACGCCGACTTGGAATCGGTGTGGAAGGCGTACGAGGTAAACACACGTTCGCTTCTGGACCACACTCAGCGCTTCTATAAGCAAGAGGGTGGAAAGCAAAAGGTGAGCGCACTCTGCTCTAGGCCTATTTCAAGCCAACTTTGCTGACACTACTTTTCAGTATCTTGTCAGCGTGTCTTCCTCCATGGTACATAACTTGGACAATGAAAACTCGTTCTTGGCAGCCTACGGGGCCACGAAGAACGCTGGTCAAGTCTTGATTCAGCAAATTGCAAGGGATGTCGACCCAGAGAAGTTGCAGATAATCAGCTTCCACCCTGGTGCCATCTACTCGGAGGGGGCCCAAACCGGCGGCGTTACCAAAGATATGATCGATGTTTGGGATGATGGTATGTTCTGCCTTCCCAAAACCCTTCTTGACGAGGGACTTGCAGCTAACTTGGCAACAGCAGCGTTACCTGGCAACTTTGCCGTGTGGGCGGCCACACCCGAGGCCAAGTTCCTACACGGCCGGTTTCTGGCAGCCTGGTGGGACGTAAACGAGTTGCAGAACAGTGGGCTCCGCCAGAAGCTCGAGTCTGACTGGCACCTGCTGAGGGTTAGTATAAAGGGACTCTAAGACTTTCGATGGTGGCACGGGCTTCGGGTGTTTGTTGCCTGGAAAAAGTCCTACAAACGGATTGTGACGAGACCGGAGGATGTGACTGTAGACAGTTAGTTCAACTTTGCTGAGACGTTTCCTGTCTTGAATCTCGACGCACCATCTTCTCTAGAATTATTCGGCAATCAGGAAAAGCAAGGCTTGTAGTGGATGTCTCTTCATTGGCCCATGTGCTGGCGAAGTTGCTGACCTCGCTCCCATAGGGCTGATGAAAGCTCTTTTGAAAAATGCCTGACCTGGAAAAGGTGGCAGCATCCACCTGCATTCGAGACTGGTGCTTCTGTATTTCTCTTACTCTTCGGTACCCACGCGCCAGGTTCAAGACTGCAGTAGTTTCCTGCGGGGAGCCGGTATTGGCGACGCCACCAGTGGCAGGGCTGATTTCGACAGGGTCACGACCAATCTGTGTGTCTATGACTGCTGTCGAGGTCGAGTGTGGCTTTTGTCGCACAAGCAGCGATCATCCAATCTTTGTCTCTGATCAAGCGTGCTCCGCCATCCCGAGACTTCCTTGGGCCAATCACGCATTCCCTCGACCTCAATTATCCCGACGCTGAGCTTCTCTCTCCACCTCCTCCAATGTCCACCGCGGCCATGACCCAGCTCCTCCTTCTGCAGCCGCCGGGTGGCAGAAGCTGAATGGGGGGTGAGGCAGCTGTCGGAGCTCAGTGCGTATAATCTCGTAGCGTGATGGGAATGGGGCGTCGGAAACCGGGGTGCCACGACATTCGGGGGAGCGTACGTACATATCAATGTTTCCGAGGCCTTGTTCTGGATCATGTCTTGCAATCCCCTGCTGTGTCTGTGTCTGTGCCTGTCGCGTTTCTCTTCCACGTTATCAAACTTTTTGTTCGCTTTCTCGCCATGCGCTGAAGGGTTCTGCGTTTGTTACTTCCCACGAGCGACGAGTCGCACAAATCAGTTCGTGGCCACCTACCTCCCCGGCAAACACCCACCGCTCCTTCCTTCCAGGTTCTCTTCGGACCCTCGGCCCCACCTGCTCAGGCGGCCGCTGCTGATAGCGCTGCACCTCAGTTTGCTCGGCCTGGATTCTGATCAGATGAGGTGGGAAAGAGAAGAGAGCGATGCTTGCCCACCAGTTCCAACCACTTGTCCTTGTTTTCATCTCATTATTTTGCCTGTCGATTGCACAGTATGACCCCATCAAAGACTTTTGCAGACGGTTTGGCCACCAGTCGGCCGTGGTCGACAATCGACTTTACATAGACGGGGGGCTGGTGAACTGGAAGCCATTCACCTCATTGTCCCCCAACTACACCAGTACGTTGCCGCTGGCAACTTGCATACACTCGCATGTCTCCTGATACTTACTTACCTGCCACTTTAGACCCCTTCCTCACATTCAGCGATCTCAGCACTGAGACGAAAGACATGCCCACGCTGTATGCCAGTCTCTCCAAGAATGCAACGGTTCCAAGCGTCATGGGCGGGAAGTTGTGGGAGGACTCGGTCAACAAAAGATTGTATCTGTATGGCGGCGAAACTTACCAGGCACCACCAACAAACTTTCTGCTCTATGCCTATGATATTCTCAAGGACAAGTGGGATTCTTTTGGCCCACCAACAGGGACGGCAGCCATTATCCCAACCAGTTTTGGTGCCGGCGTGTCCGTTCCCGCGAGAGGAGAAGCATACTACTATGGCGGGTTCCACAATAATGCATCAGTTCCCGGTTGGACAGGCCCTCCTCGAGCATCTAACAGGCTAATCAAATACGACATGGACACCAACGCATGGAGCAATGTGACCGGCCCAGACGAAGTCAGGAGAGCTGAAGGCGAAATGTTCTTCCTTCCTCTCAGTGACGCCGGCATGCTGGTCTACTTTGGGGGCAGTCAGGACTTGTTTGGTAACGGAACTTTGACGCCTGAGCCTCTGGACACCATTTTCCTCTACGACCTCGCCAACGGGAAATGGTATGCGCAAAAGGCATCAGGAAGGATCCCAGAGAATCGACGTCGGTTCTGCGGAGGAGCAACTTGGGCTCAAGATCAATCAAGCTACAATATGTTTGTGTCTTCTATTTCACCGTCAGCGTTAACAGGCAGGCGGCTAACGGCTTGTAGCTACATCTATGGAGGGTCTGGCTTCCCTCCAAGCACGGCAGGATATGATGATATCTATGTGCTCACCATCCCAAGCTTCCAGTGGATCAGAGGTCCGTACCCAAAAGATAGCAACATCACCGGGCCTTTCCCAAAGAACATGATGAGCTGCAACGTTGTCAATAATGCTCAGATGGTAATTGTTGGTGGTTCAAACTCGAATGCCACTGGGTACGAATGCGATGTTGACGTGGTAGGGGGGCAACACAACATGAATCTAGGGCAGGAGAACCCAGAGAAGGCCATTTGGGCAAGGTATCAGCCAAAGCTTACAACATATGCCGTGCCTACCTTCATCATGTCAGCAGTTGGTGGTCGTAACACCGGAGGGGCAAGAGTTCTCACTCCCTCTGGAGGCTTCAATGCACCAGATCTCTCGGTGCTAATGACTAGGAAAGCCATCATCTCTACTCGAACCCCAACACGAGACGTCAGCTTAGCAACGTCCCAAGCCCCATCGTCAACTGGGGGGCCGGAACCCGCACCACCGTTAAGCCCTGGGGCCATTGCCGGGATTGCTGTTGGAGGTGCCGTGGTACTGATTGCCCTTCTTGGGGGATGCTGCTGTTTCATCCGGTACCGTCAGAAACACTATAAGGGACCGCGCCAGCCCAGCCACGGAGTACCTCCTCACGGTTGGGGTCCATCTGGACCGCTCTCACCGGCATCTCCGGCAGTCACGCATATATCATATGCCCACACAGTCGCAACCCAGCCACAGTCACCAGTAATGCTGCCCTCGATCCCAGTCTACCCGCCAGCAGAACTTGGCACAAACGACAACGACCAGTACCGAACAGCCCGAACAAGCCCGGCGAGTGTCGCGGCCAAGCACGATAATTCACCCTGGGCCACGCACGCATCAACTCCGCAGACGTTGGAACCGCCAACCCCGGCAAGCGGACCGTACCCGAACCGAACGCCGTCGTACACAGAACGAGATCCGAGAACGATGCAGCCGGGGCAACCGTATTGGTCCACAACTCCGCCACAATTGCAGCAACCGCAGTTCCGGCCGACGCAGGAAGCCCAGGGGGAAATTCGTGGTTGGGTGTTCCAAGAGATGGGCAGATCTGGAACAGGCCGGCATCATCTCAACAGTGACCGATATTGTGAGCAGATTGGACGGGGGCAAACAATTGGAAGTGGGGTTGAAGCTCTTGGTATATTTCACAATGTTTATACATCTTACGCACGTTTCTATCTTGGTTTTGCTCTTGATGATCTTGGCTCTGGTCTGAAGTTTACATTGTATAATAATCAGGTTCAGCTTCCTAACAATATACACAAGGTAACGGTTACATTTACACATGCCGTACTACGCCGTGAAAAAAACAGTAGTTTTTGCTTGCCTACATAACCTATACTTTTTCAATGCCATACAGGCTTTCTTAAAATGTTGGACATAGCTATCGACTATTTTAAAAGGCCTATCAACTGTCCAGCACAGTGGAGGTTAGATAATTGCCATGTGTTAAGTCTGGCTTACAGTACCTATTATTATTTTCCAGAACGTGTATACCAAGACACGGGTAACATTCCAGTGAGAGGTGATCGTTTCCGGTTGCAAAACCATGCGCCAAAAATAGATCCCACGAGGTTTTGTGTTTCACCCCAGAAACTTCCCGATTCGGAGTTCTGACCCATAAATACATCTTGGGATCGTAGACAAGTCAGTTTGCAGGAAAAAAATCTGTGGGAGGGACTGTCCCGTCACAGGAGGCTTAACAGTAACATTTGAGGCCCAAAGCACAAAAAGGGGTGGAAAGGGGGTGGAGGAAGAGCGCTTGGCAAGTGGAGAAAAAAGGGGGGGAAAACTAAGGCCAAAAATGTACTCTCCCGCCGGGAATTGAACCCGGGTCTCGAGCGTTGTTGGTTTGACAAGCTCACATACTGACCACTATACTACGGAAGATTTACAGATGTGTACACCTGTTGTAGTGAGAGGATTGGCTGGGAGAGATGGTGGACTGCCTACCTATAGGGGTAAGCTTGCATCGGCTCGAATTACAGAGCAGGAGACGTTCTTTCAACAACAACCCTATAAAAGATGTGCAATTGGGTTTAACCACATTATGCGAAAAGATAAGGACGGCACAAGGCCGCAGGCGCAATGAAGAATTTTCAGTCAGTTCGCAGATGTCTTCAAATTTCAGTACCAGGAGGACTCCGAGATATTATCGCCAAGTGTGCCGTTTGTCCTGACGTCATGGCGTCCCATTCAAGGCTTCATATTCGCGAAGCCAAGATCATCGAAGTGACGATGAGTGAGGACTAGACTCTCGGAGACATGGAAGATTCCATGATACTAGACGGTGACTCGTAGTAGCGATGAACGAGTTAGACAAGGAAAATCACGAATATAATTGGTGATTGACATTAAATGCCATGATAGACTGCGTCAAGCAGTTGCGGTTATTCTAATAGTTAACTCTCTTCTAACATGTAGAATAGTTGAATATGCTGTCTTGCCTGAAATTATGTACGTTGAAACAAAATGCCCTTCAAAATCCAAAATATACCATACCCATATGACCATCACGATAAAAATCAGAAAGCAAACAAGAAACTTCAGCCACACGGGCCTGGTCTTCAACTCCCACAAACTCCAACGCTTCCAGCTCACAAAACGTGGTTGTCACAAACTTGGACGACATGTGTCATATTTCAAGCATTAAGCCCAAGCACCAACCAAGCTCATGCAAATGGCACCAAAAAACACAAGGAAACAAGCGGCGATCCGCTTTCGGCCGCGGAGAGTCGCCCAGCTTTCATCACTGAGAAAGTCCTCGGCAAGGAGCTCGATAAGCGCAGCAAAGACAAGGAGCCCCGACGAGATGGCGTTCATAGTTCCCACCAAGATTAAGCCAAATTCGGAGTTTGGGCTGTAAAGCATGTGGGTGGCTAAACCAATGGCTTGACCAATAGGTGTCCTGAACAGTACTATTGTCAGCTCCACAATCTGTAAAGAAATGCGAAAAGTAGAATAAACATACGTGCATCCATAAGCCAACACCATAAACCATGGCTGCAGCATTCCCTTTTGCCAGTTGATAGAAGCAATACGGGCTCCCAAGGCGAGACCCTCAAACGTTTCTGCAACAGACGTCAGCCATCATGTCACGTCACACCATACACAGGAAACGAAAACACTCACGGTGAAAAGCAACAGCAATCAACAATACAACAAAGTCGCCGCCAACAGCGACACTCAACGCCATACCGATAAAGATGCTGTGAAACAAAATACCCACCTCGAGGAGCATGCACTGCAAGATCTTCTTCTTGTGTGCCTGCTCCTCAGTAAGGCCGATGTGCTGAGATTCCACCACGCCGCCAAGCAGCTCCTTGGGCCTGAGCTTCTCATCAGGAGTAACAGCCGAATTATCACCACCAGCCGCCACGACCTCCTCAGAAACAGGCTCAATAACAGCCTGGCTTCCCCGGCGAGTAGTCCCGGAAGGCCTCGTGATAGCTGCCAGAACCGGTGCCTGGGAACAGTGGCCCCCAAAAGACGTAGACCGATGCCGGTGGGCAGGCTGCTCCTCTGCCCGGAATCCATCGCTGTCCCCGGCTTCTCCTCTTCCGGGACGAGGAGTGTAGTGACGAGCGGGGCTAAACACCATCTCAATAACCGCGACAAAGAAGATTCCAAGCAAGGCAATGGCCCCCGGCATAGCGGGGTAGTCCGACGTCCAAAAGCTCGAGAGGCATGGATCGCCAAGCGAGATGAAAGCCGTTGGGAGAAGATGCACAAAAGCAGTAGCAAGCAAGACGCCGGTACCGAAATGGCGAACAGCGAAAAAGAAGCGTTCGGGAATGCGAATAATCGGAAACTTGAGGGCGATCATGGGCAGCGCGCAGGCCAGCCCGGAGACGGCGAGAATGATGACCAGGGCGCCCACGTGAAGAGGCATGTTGTAATCGGTGGTAGCATTGAAGTTTGCGCCGCAACGAGATGCCGCCGTTCCATCATCCTGCCGCTTGGTGAGTTGCTTCAAAAGCAAGGTAGATTCACGGGTAACAACAGCGTTAGAACTAGCGGTGGTAGTCTCAACTGGATGACCACCCAAAAACATGGCCGGGACGCCGTGCCCGGCAATGTGGACAATTGCCGACACAGCGACAACAGAGAGAATCCATCCAATCCAGCCCGAGGGGGGCCGGATCAGAGGCTGGGAACGACAGGCTCGGCCTTCACCACCAAGCGCTGTCTCGGGGGCTGCAATGGGCGGATCTGTGAGGTTTGTTGTGTCAATGACGTTGAAACTGGAACATACAGCAAAACCTCACCTGTCAAAAAGGGGACACCAATATCAAGACGAGAGAGTACTTACGACCGCCCATTGCAGAGGGTATGCGCCCCCAATTGTTTGTCTTGTTGTTGCAATTATCGAGGAAATTGTTTTTTTCGTCATTCAAGACCCCAAACGCACTGGCTGACCCTCCTGATCCCCCATTGCGCTGTTCGCGGGCGTTGGCAATGCCATTCAGGTCCTCGCAGGTGGTGAGGTCGGGTGCTAGAAATGGGGGGTTCTGGTTCCAATCGGGATGCTCAAAGTCATCGTCTGTTCTCGAAGGGCGGTTCATGATTGGTCTTTTGTCGGTGTTTCGTCCTTCAATTGCTGTACTCATATAAGGGGGGCTCTGCCGGTGCGGTTTGCTGCACAATCACCCGACAGGTATCAGACACGGGCTTCTTTATGTATGTACTTGTGTAAATGAAGAAAAAGCGAAAACGCTGGATGAGGTGACTGACGAACTGACTGGGATCAATGTCTTGACTTGAACAAAAATCGATCCGCTTGCAATGACAGCAAAGTGGGGCACAGCTGAAGGGCCTGCCACCTGAAGTGGTGACCTTGAAACAAACCCGCCTGCAAGAGCCGTCCTGGGCACTCATCCGACGGAATACGCCCTGAAGCGACTTCCCTATTGGGCAGCCTCCCGGGAACAAACTCAGCAAAAGCGGTGACGGCACGTGTGGGGCCGGAATGTTACGGAGCTGCTGCCAAGAATAGTAGGTACGAACTGCTGCAACAGTGATAACGGGAAGTTGTCTTGGAAGTCGCCGAAACTCTTGGACGAAGGACAATGCCCAGACATGGTGCGAAAATTCAGAAACCTTCTAGAGCGATTCAGCGGGTTCCAGGCGACTTCTGGGCTAAGATGGCTGCAGGGAGCGTACCAAACAAGTTGCATGTGATTCCAGGGTGGCCCGGAAGTGCATGACAACCACTTGGTCATGGGACCAAGCACAACCTGCAAAATGAGATGACAGGAGCCGTCCGTGCCAGCCCTGGGGGGTTAGGGTTTTCTACGCTTTCCGGATTGAGATCACTTACAGAGAATTGGTTGGCTGAGATGCTGTGCCATGCTCTTGCTGAACACAGCGATAATCGGAATTATCGTCGCTATCGTCGTGCAGTTTTTCTCTTCGGGTGAGTACGCCAAACCATTACCTTACCTCCTTTCCGCCTTTCCGCCCTTCCCACTATCTGCCTCTAGTGGTGTTCCGCCACAACCAAAGTTCCATGTGGGCCTCGACATCCGTAGGGCTGGTTTTTTCGTGCTCCCGTCTCTCTTCCCCGCTCTTTCTTATCCTCCCCCGGAAAAGCAAACATGGATCTAGCAATTGCGTCTGCACAACGGGATCGCCGTCGGCAATGGGCCAGCCCCTTCCCCATCTCAAATTTTCTGGGGAAATGGGGCGGCAATGGATCCCGGCCAGCTCCCGATATCCCCCGGGCCAAGACCCGATGCCCGGCATGTGCTCGGCAATTTCGTGCCCCTGTTCCGCAAGCCACCGGTGACGCGGATGTCGTTGAATTCTCGTCCACAAATCACAGGTGCTCCCGGAGAAGTGCTCGGCAGATGCCGGGATCACATCCTGCACGTTGCGTCTATTTTCCTTATTGACGGACTGGTGTAAACGCATACGACAACCTGTTATCAGAAAGCGATGCATCTTGGACAATAAGTAGCCAATGAAGCAATTCTTGTAGCGAAGATTGGCACCGGTTGCTGTGCCTTCCGAAGATCAAACCGGCCTCTTGTTATCCTTGCTGGGAAGACCAGGTACTGAAGAAATCGAAATCCATGTTCGCCTCATCAAAGCAGGTAAATGACGTGTCCGTCTGTTCCAACGTCTTGTCCACGCCCGCCCCTGAACCGTTCCAGCTGGAGTCAACATTTACATAAGAACCCATATCAAACTCATTCCTTACGGGCAAGTTGATGTTGAACGGCTGGCAGTCGAAGTCAAAAGGGAAGTCGTTGTTTCCCTCGAATGTCGTGGCCCCGCCTTGTCTTGCCTCCAAGTTGCCCGGTCATCGTCGGCCGTGTGCTTAAATGGGGAGTAGTGTTCAGACATTTTTCTCTGTGATCAAAACCCACTTTGCTAGCAGTAGTGAAAATATCACCTGAAAAAGTATCTAAGCTTTCAGGTATACCAGACGAATCTTTATGCTACGAGCCAGGTGGTTCAAGGTGTTCGCCTTGAACTCGAACCGCCTCTGAACCTTGTTCCGAGAACAACGCAGGTAACCTGACCGCAGGGTTTACCAATGTGACACTGCTTCCAGCCAAAGAACCAGAGGGGGTTGCCGGATTTCGAACTCGAACACCCCGCGGCTCAGCCATTGCTAAATCCGGACTCTGCAATGTCCCGGTCGACGAATCGGTCAGCCAGTCGTCGAAAATCAAGCCCAAAGCTCGCCCGAGGGCCTCTTGAGCCATTGCTTCTGTGATGGTGCTTGGAAAATCCTCTGAGCTTTTTTCACTTTCAGATACTGGAAGGTCCCTCAACACACTACTTTCCCGAAGGTCTCTTGCCGCTATGATGCGACCTTGACGTTGCGCAAACTCTCGGAACTGACAGATTGCTTCACACAAGCGATGGTCCATATACGCTGA